AGTTTTAATTAATCTTTATTCTATGATAGTTTTGTACTTCCTTCTATTTTTTTCCCCAATTCATTATTCAAGCACTGTACATATACACTTATCTAAAAGTGTTAACTGACAGCTGTTCCTAGGTAAAAATTATTGGACCATACTATTTTAAAACGATTATAGTAGTATAATTATTCAGCTCTGTGTTTTAAATTCAACTCAATAAAATTCCTTAAAAATATGAATATGCTGGTTTAAAAATGAAAGACTATTAAATCAGAAATAACGAAAATTTCATTTTTAGGATTTACCGACAATATCTTCACGTTGTTTTGAGTCGGCGGCAAGGCACAGTTTTTTTTCAAGAGACAATACGGAAAAATTTATTCAATTTTGTCGTCGGCTTGGCGTTCACCAACACCTCCTGTTTGAAAGTGACGATCTAGGTAGGTAATAGATATACCTACTCAATGGGCAGTGATGTATATCAAGCAATTTCGGCCATATTATGGTCCATAGGATACATCCCCAAGCACAGAAATTAAATGATTAAATAGTGATGCTGAAAATCTAAAATACCTATCTAATAAAAAAATAATAGTAACATAATAACTGCTTTATCGGGTGTATTTATTTAAAACAATAACATATTGTATACTTAAAAATGAACTTTTGGAGTCTTTGTTTGATTAAAAAAAATAATTTCTCAGTTTTTTTATATCATGGTAAAAATACTTTGGCTCCCCAAACTCGGGTGCACCCAGTGCCGGATTGAGACTTGTGGGCCTACCGAGATTTTAAATTTCTACCAGCCCTTAACGAAGTATCGGCCCATTTGACAAAAAAAAAAATGACACTCTTTTAGCATGTGGGCTTTAATTCATAATTGTTTCTTTAAAGCAAATTTATAAATTATCCAATACATTAAATTGAGGTACTTAGTATTCTCGTATTTAGCTATATTATTTTTAAAAAAGCAAAATATAAGTTTAGAACTCGATATATGCATATTTTTACACGTTTCATTTTATACTCATCAGTCATCATGACCTTAATATGAGTACCTGTATAACCATTATTTTTAATCAATTTACTATGACTTTATAATTTTAAAATTTGATTTGTTTTTAGATATATATTTATATAATTAAATGTAGGTATGTATATATATTTTAACCCAATACATTATTTTTAAGCGGCCCACCGACACCGAGATTTTCTCGGTAGCTCGCCAGTTCAATCTGGGCTTGGATGCACCCTGCCGGTCCCTACCTAAATGCACACCGTGTAATCTTATATACACGCACATTTTGATTTGTTTCAAAGGAAAACGAATTACATTAATATTTTTTTGTCTCAAACAGTTTTGCAAAACAAACCTCGTAATGTTGTATTGTGTCTGATGGAAGTGTCCCGCTTGGCTTCTCGATTTGGTCTGGAACCACCGGGCCTGGTGCAAATGGAAAAAGAAATCGACGCCGAAGAAGCCAGAGAGCAGAACGACGGTCCCGATACAAAAATATCTACTCCTAACATTAGACATCGGTTTGTTTTGTTTACAAAAATAAAAATATATAAAATAACAATAACATAGAACAATAATAATAATAATAACTTACTTACGAATGCTACAGCTCCACCAGCGCAATACCAATGGCTATTAGATCGGTGAGCAAATTGAGGAGAACCGAGAGCCTCGGAGCAACGTCTATGGTTACTTTGAAATCGGAATCGGATACTACTGACGACGACTATACGATCGAAGGCTGCAATAACTTCAGTGAACTCGATTACAAAGTAAAAAGAAAAATATTATCCTTTTTATAAGTTAGGTACCTACTACATATACTACTAAACAACTGCAGGGGCGTTAAAGAATTGTGCAAAATAATCTATGTTTAAAAAAGTATTCGATTATAAACGGGCTAAGGAGTAAGGGTGCTGATTTCCGCCAACAACTTTTTCCGGAAAATTAGGAAAATCATCATTTCTTTTTCCATCAGTCAAAAATTATGGAATTTTTTAAGTTTGGAAACCCTTACGTACGATTTAATAATATATTTTTTGAAAGTAACTATATTCGTAAAGACTATACAGAATTATTCATTGGATCCCTTTGCAAAAGATCTATATAAAAATCAAATGATTCAAAAGTTATACATTAACTAGTTGTATGTTTAAAATTATTAATTATTTAATGAACAAAGAATAATATTATATATATATTTAAGTAACTAGCTATTAAGTATATCATAGATTCATAGGTATTAATCATAGCTATCATTTATTCTATCCATCTAACTAACTATTAAATCCTTACAAGGTATGCCAATATGTTAATATGTTATAAAAACAATGTAAATATTATACCTACTCTGTTCACTAAATAATTAATAACTTTTAACATATAACTAGTTAATAAATACATTTTGAATTATTTGATTTTGTATAACGTTTACAATTATAGTTACTTAAAAAATAATAAATATATACATCATTAAATCTTACGTAAAGGGTGCCAAACATAAAAATTCTATAATTTTTTTTCCCTGCGGTAAAAGGAATGACGGTTTTCTAACTTGACGGGGTTGAAATCAAAAAAAAAATCATTTAAATGTCATAAATTCATCAATAAAAAAAAATATTAGCTGTACCTAAGGGCTAAGATATAAAATGAGGATTTGTGTGAAATGCAAATGCACACACCCTTGCATCCATAAAGTTACTTCTTTATGTTACTATAGTTACTACTTACCAATTTACCATCACCATCTTTAATCTAAAAAATATATTTAAACCTATGAAACATGTTAATTTTATAGATTTAGTACTCATTTGTAAACGAACAATTTTATAGGTGAAACATGCTAGTCGACAAGCTCTCGCGCAGTGCCGCTGTCAAGGGAAAAAATTGAAATTGAAAAAAATAGGAGAAGGAAGATACAACATACACGGCCGGAACGTTTTTATCAGGGTAATGATTATTTTACTGCAATAAATTGATTCAGTTGTAGTCAAAAGAAATAGCGGTTCTATGAGTTGTACCTACCACGTACGTAGGGCCGTAATCGTAAAAATTGTGGGGATAATGTAGGTGTATGATCATCCATATCCCTTTTTGATATTATTATATAGTGTTTACATTTTTAAACAATGGTTGTTACAAATATACGTTTCATCATTTACCATCGAAATTCAGTAATCAGTACCTATATAAAGGTGGGTGGTTGATAATTGTTATATTTAAACTCAACAGTCTATAGATAATTTATGTAACTGAAAGACTTAGGCAAGGTTTATGAGCAAAATCGTTGTGAGTTATTCGTTTCCACCAAAGTGGAAAAATGTATGATTTTGTGTTTGCGCCAAACCTACACATAAGTACTGTTTTCAAAAATTCCATACAGAGAATGTTAAATCATACTTTGTTATTAGGCACAGTTGAAGTTATTACACTGTTTGAATATATTATTTTTGGTTTTTCGATATTTAATTGAGAACTGTTATGTATATTATATACAAATTAATTTGAACACTTGAAATTAAATTTTTTTAAATATATTAGAATGCGGTTTGTAGAACTGTTCATGGAAGTGTGCATTGAATGATTTTAAATAATTTGTTGCTCTGTATACACAATCAATGAAATTGAACCAGACTGTGGATGGAAACGTACTATTTTCGGACACATAATTTTCAGAATACCATACAATATAATTACATAAAACCAAAAATACAACTAGTGATTCTTAAAATCTCAAACTATAATTTTAAAAGAAAAATGATTTGAAGAAAACGAAAAGCAAACCTTTTTTGAATTTTGGAAATTTGGCAGAAACGATTCACCACTAGTTATTTGTCCCCCTCGCTCCAATAACACTTTGCTACCTACTGAACTGATGAGCACCAGCTCTAGGTATACTGTTTGATATCTACTTTTCTTTTTTCCGGAAAGTTGTTAAAAGGAACGCACATGATGGTCCGCGTTGGAGGTGGATGGGACACGTTGGAAAACTTCTTAACTCGTCACGATCCTTGTCAAACGCCTGGCCGTCCGACTGTCCGGGTTCCGCCGCCAACCAATCACCGGACGCCGTCACCGGCGCCGCCGAACAGTCGGGTCCAGTCACCGTCACAACGCAAGTCGTCAATTCCCAGATATCTTGGATCAAAGTTTAACTCGCCCAACGCTTTCAAAACGCTGCCTGAATCCGCACTTTTAGCACGCTAATGTTTTCCTATACCTACCTAGTTAAGCTGTACATCGATTAAATAAATATTTTATTAATATTATTATTTTATTTTTAATATAACACATATACATATATATTTAGATAAATAAAACAGAAAAAAAATATATCATGTATTAGTTAAATATTATCTACACACAAATACATAACATAATATATATTATATTATATTCTTCTCTACTATAGAAACTAAATGGCAAGATCATACATAAAAAATAATAATAATAATAATAACTATTATAATAATAACAAAGTTACACATTATTGTATTATATGAACAGAACAAAGACAATAATATAGTCCTGAGTATTACAAAAATATAACTCGACAAACTATGTAAAAACAATATAATATTAACAACTGTAACATAGCTAGAGTGGGTAACTAACAATAAACACAAAATAACAAATTATTATCTGATAGGAAGCTACAATAGAAATGTCCTTTATTAACGTTGTGCTAATAAAATATATTGTGTTACAAATAATTTTACAAAAAAATATCATCGTCAGACCTTGGAGGTCAAAATTCAAAATGTAATACGTATAATTGATTTTTCAGTTCATACAATTTTATACTTTTAAAAAAAGGACACAAGACGGATAACAAAATATAATCACATTATTGTAATTTTTAGTATGAGTTGTTGTAGACGTAGTTTGTACTATGAATTACATTGATATCGATAAACATGTAATGTTAATATTTAATAACATATTATTTTTGTTAAAAATAAATTAAGCAGAGGATTAAAGTTTAAATGTTTAACAAAAACATATAATATATTATATAAATGTCTATAAGATCTATGAGTTACTCTTAACCACGGAGGAAGACGACATATTATTCTGTGCGTTTCAAAGTGTATGATTACTAATTTTGGACTCAAATAAAAATACAAATTTGAATGTATTATATTATGGACTTCATAGAAAGTTTGAATATTATATTATGTTAAAATTAAAAAGAAAACATAATGAAAACATGGAATAAAAAGTTTTTAAATAAACAATAAAATATTTCAATCGGAAGATCAAATTTGTACTACCAATTTTAAGTACAGCAGTCTGTTGCGATGTAAATGCGTGACATAAGTTCTTAATACACGCACAATAGCAAATTTTAAATATGGACGGAATATTTTCCTTTATTTCACATGATATTATTGAATCATTATATCTAATTCAAGTTTCAACTAACAATACAAATGAGTAAAAAATAATTCACAGATCTATTAATTAAAACGATAAGCTTGAGCAAAACAATTGAGTCAACAATTTAAAAACTTCAAAAAGGTTAAAACTTTTAAATTCACAGTAAAAAAATATAACTATGCAGTATGCACTAATAATAATATGAGTAATATTAATAATATTATAGTTCATGTTGTACCTATATTTATGTACACTATTTAACTAATTGCGTGTTCTTGACAAATGGCCGACAGTTCTTTCAGCCATTCTGCCAGAATTATTGCATTTATTGGCAAATCTAAAGACTCGGTTTCGTTTTCTCTGTAGTACCTAAAATTGCAATATATACATAAAAAACAAGCCAATATTAGATATTGATAAATTACAAAGCGCATTGTTCTAAGACACATTAGTGATTATACCTATAACCGTTGTTGGTGGACTCTAATATGGCTTCCTTGTTCCCAGAATTTCTCCTGAACATTGCTCCAAATGCTACCGATATGCTGCGCCGTTTGGTTTCACCTAAAACCACATTGATTCAAAATTGTAGTTCAATATTGTTTAGAATTCAAAAAAGGACGATTTATCAAAATTGTTTTATACCTCTAACAAATGGTTCGGTTATTTTTTCGCCAGCTGAACGACTGCATTGAGTGTTGCAGAGTTTATTTTCTCGTTCAATTAAAAATGTTTCGGCTTCTATAACTTTTTCCACACGATTGCATAATTTTGTTTCTATAGTCTGTTTTAAAGAACGCAATATCTACAAAGAAAAAATAAAGTTAATAAAAATCTTAAAATTTTGTATTATCCATTTATCAACTAATAAACTAATCTTATGTATAAAGTAAGTGTTTACTTGAAACAAAGAACGTATGCATGGCTGAAAGATCATAGAATGATTTAGTAGTAATGATTGAATTAAAGGTTTGTTGTACATGGACAGACGAGTCAGAACAGCAGTCAGACGTAGGTTTATCCGAAAATCTTGTTCGGGAAAATTTTCTAAATTTGAAAATAGTGCCTCAAGAAATGGACCTAAAAATTGAACATTACAAAACAAAATGCTTGTTTAATATGTAAAATGCAAGCAAAATTAGATTATGGCCAAGCAAATAAATCTTACCTAAACAAGAGTATTGGGTAAATGGTTCTTTTGTCTTAAATGTTGACTGTCTTATGAAGCATGTTGGAGAATCACTTCCACACGGCGAAGAATTGTTTGACAACATTTCATCAGCAGGTCTACTATCATCAGTTCCGAGCATTCTGAAAAATTGAAATGTTTATCTTATTCTATATTTTCAAATTTCAAACAGTACTTGTCAATGTCTTTCATGGCTTTGAAACTTTCATATCCACTTGAACTATCGTCAGCTGATAATATGCTGTTTTGATCATTCTCCACTTCATTTGTTTTAGTTTCAACTAAAAACCAAATCATATTGTTGTTGTAATAATTGATTAGTGATTGTGTTACGTAGATTTGACAAATATTATTAAGTATGCAATGATTCATTAAACATATATTTTTAGAAATCAAGATACGTATACAAAATACACATCGAGATACACTCAATGCATTTTATTATTTGAAAATAAAAACTTGTAGAAATGTATTCACTAGGAGTTACACCCAATGATAAATTAAATTACTAATATCTGGAGCGCTCTATTTATCAAAAGACTAATTTTCAACAAGCAAATCAAACTTAATTTGATAAAAACAGAATCTAAAAACTTATGTTATGCTGTTTTTTTTATTTTTTAATCAAAATAAATAAATATTTTGACATGTTTTTTACTAATCAAAGAAAAAATAATAGATTTAAATTTTTTTACCTATTACATGAGATGGATTTTCTCCATCATATAAGTAGGTCCAATGTTTGGTTTCTATAGCACATTCAGCTATCTTGATTCGTGCACAATTTAAGTAACCTCGATATTCAGAGAATAAAGTTTGAGAATTAACATTCCTATGTCTAAAATTAAATTATAAAAATGATAACCAAAATTAAAATAACAGTAAAACACAAATTGTACAACTTACTTGAAGACATTTGGTATTAAGGACAAAAATATGTCAGCTGATTTACAATATGAATCTACTTGTTTAATACGTGAACGTTGGCTAAGCATTATGTGTGTGCAAGGCACTAAATACTTGAATACTAGTTCTAACATGACATCCTCGCAATTTAGGTCTAAAATTGTTTCCATCAATGCAAGTGTAGCGATACAAACCTAAACAAATGTGTAACAATTTTTATGGCATGAATAATAATAATAAAATAAAATTATATTTTGATATAATAGTTGCATATAATTTATCTAAAAATCATATGAGTCAAAAACATAAGCTAAAAAATGTATTTGAAACATAAAAATTTAATATTTAATTTCAATTTCTAGCATTATAATAGCGAGGAAATGGAATACCTTAAAAGATTTGTTATTAATTCGATTGACGAGTAGTTCAATTATTTTAATTTTTTCAAATCTTTCACACAGCACAAATTTTGCAAATGTCTGTAGAAGTCCTGGATGAGTGACACTACGAAGAAGTAAATCTAAATATACTGTTGCTGTAGCTACTTCCTCTTCTGCCACCTTAAAACAGTATAGTAAATATTAGTATAAACTATATAAATTCAAATTTGGTAATTGTTACATATTTATAAGGCATACCAGAATATAACATGTACACAGATTTAACATAAGTCTGAAATTTTCAAATTATATACAACAATGGAAAAATAAATATAATTACAATTTACAACTACTAAACTAGAACTGAAATAGTTTGAAAATTTTATTCCTACAATAAGATGGTTCTGCTTTTAGAGCATTAAATAACACATGCATGGGAGTCCTTTTATTATTGCCATGTAAATAAAATTACAAAATTCATTTTATTTAACATTCTGTAACATTATACTATTTACTATTCTGATTTGAAAAGAAACATAACATAATTTAAGAAGTCTTTAAATATGTATAAGAGACGTTTAGGAACAATAAGATATAAGTAATATATTGCGGGGGCTGTCTACCTAGAGGTAGCCTCTTCTAGTTGAACTAATGTGCGTTAAAAGCAGAAACATACTAAAAATAACTTAAAATATACTAAATTCAATAATACAGTAGTACAAATATTTGTACTAAATGTTTCAAATGTAGAAACATGTTTTTATTTAAATTTTTACTATACCAGTATATTTACTAAATAAAAAAAAACCGGCCAAGTGCGAGTCGGACTCGCGCACGAAGGGTTCCATACTATTATCTATAAGAATGGCAACAAAATCATGTCTGTTGTATGGGAGCCCCCTTAAATACTTATTTTATTTTATTATTAGCATTTTTTGTTGTAGCGGCAATAGAAATGTGTCATCTGTAGAAATTTGAACCGTCTAAGTATCACGGTTCATGAGATACAGCCTGGTGACAGACGGATGGACAGCAAAGTCTTAGTAATAGGGTCCCGTTTTACCTTTTGGGTACGGAACCTTAACAAAACAACACAATAAGATGAAAACATGAAAAGATAGCCTATAACTGGTATGTGAAACATGTTAAAAGAAAACTTAAGAAATTAAAAAATATATACTATAGAAATACAAACAGATAATTCTTTAGAAATATTAGAGATTAGACTACTTTAAATAACACTAAGCATTCCCAGTAAAGTTTATATATTACCATGCAAAACAATAACTCAGTAACAGTGACAAAATGCCCAAAATATATCAAAGCATGTAAAATATTCAATAACCCTGACACACTGTAACATGCACTCAACCAATAAGCCACATAGGTAATTTATAAAGTTTTTCCTTATATAAAATCAAGTCAACAATTGTAAATATTGTCATTTAATTTAAATTTTTTTTGATTTTAACTCATATTTAATTACAAATTAGCATTATAACCTTAGTTGTTATAACTGTTAAAGACAGTAATAAAAATAAGAAAAAAAAAACTCGATAGCCAAATATTCAATTTTGCACATGCAAAGAGCCACAACCACATCAAATAAATTTTACCCGCGATAAATGTGCATTGATACCGCAATTATTTTCAAAGTCCTAAACAGAATAAAACATAATTTGAACAATTGTTTTAAACAGTCTTTAAAGCTTATTAGAAAATAATAATTGATTGCTTTATTAAATGTAGAGTACCTACATTAATTTTTATTTATTTATTTATTAGTAAGCAAAATAGGGGTAGAAGTAATATTATGTTAATGGGAATGTAATTAATGACTAATGTTAATGTGTTATATTAAATACTAATTATTCATTTGTATCTGCAATAATTCTTTAATGACTGTATTTTTATGATATTAATAATTTATGTAGTTATGTTATGTTATACATAATATAATCCTCTGAATATCGTATAAACACAAACACACACGTGTATGATACAAAAAAAAAAAAATATCTTATATTCATTTTTTTTCAGAGGATTATCAATTATACAAAATGTTCTTTACTATAAAGCACATTTGATTTCTAGTTTCTAAACTAAGCAGAAAGATTATATTATACGTAGGAGGTAGGACCATAATGTTTTTGATCATAATCGTAAAGTAAATATCTAAAAATTTAATTAATTAAATACTAAAATTATTATTTTTAATAAGTAATCTGTTAAGTTTATCATTTTTCTAATTAAAATAATGATACACATTAACAATTTTGTCTATCACTGTAATCTATGTTACTATTAAAAGTTACCATACTAGTTAGTAGTTACTAATTTAAATTAGTAAAATATATGTAAATAAAATACTATTTAAAAAAAGCTTTTTTAAATGTTATTTTATTAAAAAAAGAACTACAAACTTATGTGTATATTCCTACAGATAATAATTTATTGTACCACTAAATATAATAAAGCTAGAGAAGAAACGTAGATGTATTTTTTATCCCATCACTTATGATTTTTCTATAAAAAGCACTTTTAATGTTGTACAATATTAGAACCACATAGTTACGATTCAGAATATTTAGATATCAAATAACCCTATTTCACAATAATATAAAATTCTATTGTTTAAACTCAAGTAATTGAATATTTAAAATACATAATTTTGAATGTACCTGCATTAATGCTGGCCCGACAACGGGTAGAAGGAACCCATGGTATAAGTAATCCAAAAGTTGATCATATACAGTTTTGTGACATATCTTAGCAACAGCATTACACAGTTCTACTGAAGCTAAGAAATTATTTAGTTCTGGTACATCTTCAATATTTTCTGGGCTCAGTCTGTAGCAATCATTTTCAAAATCTAATTTTCGAGGCAGCACTGAATATAGACCACTTAAACCAGTTGCCAATACAGGACTCACATTCGATTTAGATGTAATAATATTAGCTAGTGTATCATTTTGACGAGATAATGAGACAAATATTAATAAGGCATCACGAGCTTCTTCGCCAATAGATCCATCACGGTGTATGAATGCCATCAATAATGACAAAATAACACATCTAAAATCAAATCACAGTATTTAAATTAATTGCAAAAACAAGTACAACAGAGAATACTTACTTTGAATTTGTAGTGTTATCTTTTAAGACATTGCACAGTATACTTGGCTGATGAGAAAGCACCACACAAAATTGTCTTAAAACTGTAACTAAGTGTTTTTCATTATCCACAGATAAGCAATCACCATCATATGAATTTAATATTAGTATTAAAGGATTTAATATAGAATCATCAGAAAGTAACTGATGCCCTCGAAGTTCTGACAAAAGAATTCCAAAAACTTTTAATTGTTCCAATTTCAAATAGTTTTTAAATCTAAAAATACATCAACAAATTTGAATTACACAAAATGTATTACCTGGAGAACACTTTTTTGGTTGTAAACATTTTTATGGGCTCATTCAAGAAATTATCTCTGAATGTAACATATTAACAAATCAATGATTAATATAATTAAAATCAAAAAATATAAAACATAACACTGTGTATATCTAAATCTATAACATAGGTCAGAAAAATACGATTACCTGTCTGTTTTTAAGCTCCATGAGTATAATTTTCCTAATAATTGGTTTTTCAAAAAGTATTCAAGACACCGTGATTGATTGGTTGATTTGACTGATTGTACATCAAGTAACAATAGCTTTATTAATTGATTTAAATGATTTATAACAGCTACAATATCATCATACTTAATAACGCCTTTTGAAGTCTAAAAAATAAGTATTTAAGCATAATTTTTAAATATATGTTTATTATTTGACATTAGTATAAGAGCATATAATGTCCCTTATATTGAAGGCTGGCTTAGGCATCTAATTTATGAGATAACATCGTATTATTTGAATCTTACAGTATAATTTATATTCCTTATAATCGTTGAGCTATAATTGTATGCACAAAAAGCTAATAAAAATAAAGTATATAATGGGTATATAGCAGTACCATGTTAACTTTCATTGGCTCCCCAGGCTAATAATATTTGGAACCCCTGTGAAACAAATGTATTTAAACATTTGCCGCTCTTTAAAATGTAACAACTTTTGACACTCTAGGGCAGCGGTTACCAACCCATGGTCCACGGCCCACTTGTGAGCCTCGAGCAGAGTGGTACTGGACTGTGAACCATATAAATATATAATATTTAATATTATATATATATTTTTAGTATATACCCAACGCTAAATATAGGAATAAACTGAATTTTGAAAGTGATTTAATTCTAAAACTATCTAGTTTTCATCCCAATTTGACTCTCTCATGAAGGACAAATAATGTCAAAAATCACATTAAATTGTTTAACTTGTGATTAAGTTATATAAAGTGTTTTTCATGATAAACAATCGATTTTTTAATTCTTTTTAATTTTAACAACTGAAGTTTGTATCTACATATATATGCATTCGTAAATAGGTGAGGTATTTGTGGGCCTCAAAGATTTGTTTACAAAATTGGTGGTCCACACAGCTAAAAATGTTGGGAACCGCTGCTTTAGGGCCCTTGCTCTAATTGTCATGGATCTGGTACAGACATAGTATACTTTCATTTAGTAAAAACTAAAAAGGCATTATTTTTAAGATTCTACTATATTTATTTAAATACTTGAGTTAGTTAAATTCATAAACATGGCAATATACTAACTACTAGTAGTAATATATTTGGTTATTAATTAGATGAACCAATAAGTCATTGGATGGATTACATATACTTGGGGTAATTTTGATTACCAGAAAAAATAAAACACAAAATAGGTTATATAGCAATTTTCTTTTAATTTAACATAGGTACTTTTAATTATGTTTTTAAATATGTTAGAATATCTGTTTCAGTTTTTCAACCAAGGTTTTTAGAAACATTCAATTACCGATAATAAATACATAATTTGTAATAAAATGCACCAGATTACATATTAATATATTAAGTTGTATTGTACACTATTTACTTCACATTAAATATGAAAAATACAAAAATTCAATACTCACTTGAAATCGATCAATAATTTCAAAGGTTTGTTGCCAATGTTTGTTAAAGCTATCAAAACACGCAGACAAATCAAGATCGTCAGTTTTTTCAGTTCCTTTATTTCGCTTGAACCAACTCATATTATATGCATCATATGTATTTAATATTTAAATGTGTATATTACATAATACACTACAAAAATATGCATTAATTGAATTAACAATTGAAAATAACATAAGAAAAAACAAATTAAAAAGTATGGTTGACACTATCACTTTTGTTTAAATATAGAAGGCCAAAATTATAAATACCGAACAACGCTAATTAAAGAAATCTATGTTTATTGTTTAGGAACATTTAAAAAGGGATTAATTTACATTTTATTAACAAGTATATACCTATTTACAATACTGACAAGTAGGATTATCCTGTTAGATGCAGAAATTTCCATCTTACACAAATAGTCAATTGTCGTGCCATTATCTAAAAAAGTGTGATAGTAATAAAACGTTATCAAATTAATGATTATGACTAGAAACACGGTATGAGTATATTTTGGTTACATAGTAAGTAATAATAATGATAACAATAATGATAATACACAAAATGGAAAGTTAACATTATAGGCATACACAAGCACAGTGGTATACCTATAGGCTACAATTGTGAACACAAGTAATACACAATACACATAAAATATTTAAATATCACTATAAGCTATCAATACATCAAGTATCGAAAATGGATTTTATTATTTAATGTTTAAAAATACTGGATTAATTCTTTATAGTATGGAAGAACTTCATTTTTGTATAGTTTATGATCTTCCCCATGTGTGACTTTTAAGATGGACATTCCTTTTTTCAAGTACTGTACAGCTGATTCAGAATTTTCAACAATGGAACATAATTTAAATAACTTCATGTACAAAACTCCCAAAGAAGGATGCCAGTCATTATAATATACCCTGAAAATAAAAAGAATAAACTGTATATTACTGTTTAAAAAATGATTTTAACTAGTAGGTCCATCAAGAATTTTAATAAACAAGAGAACACTTAGTAATGCAAAATTATCAATCATAATCCATAGTATTCTAGACCATAAACATTCGGAATACATTTTTCATTTATTCTAAAGGAAGTTAATAAATATTATTAAATAATATTATTGGTACATTTTCAACAAATTGTGTTAGTGATTTTGACATTTGATAATACAATGGAAGTAGCTATCTTTTATAAGTAACAAAATATTAGCTTTTTTTTCTAGATTTATGTAATATGAATGATTATAAGTTGAATATTGTTAATGTGAATAAACTATACATATTCATTAGACTTTGCTTATAAATCATTGAAATAACAATGTACCTATATCCATCGATCAAAAGAATTCCATACTTCAAACTCTCTTTCCATTGTTCCATTTTTATGGCACTTTCAAAAGCTAGATCCAATATTTTAACATGATTAATGTTGTTTGGATGAAAAATTCCATTTTGTTTCTCTAAACACATTTTACAAACATCAAGATCTAAAATAGTCAATGGAATATATTCACACTTTCCTTATACTAATAAGTAATAACTAAACATAAAATCAGTAACAATATAACTAGGAAGAATATCTATAAAAAGGATACAACCAATATCTTTCATTCTACTTAATTGAAACTCTGTAAAATCAGTCACATCATAAAAGGTTTTAATTTTATCTTCACTGATTTTTTCCAAACATTTTGAACAGCTAATTGAATCCAAAACCTAAAAATTATTATGTATGTAAATAGGTATTATTATTATTTTTGTTTATGTAATTACTAATTAAAATAAAGCACACCTCTTCTTGTTTGTTTTTCATAGGAATTGCAGCCTGACAGTCAGAATTTCCACAAAGCATTGAGTTCACAAAATTTTGCTCATAATTTGTTACACAACGTAAACATTGACATAAAAAATAATAGTTGTTTTGTAATTCACTTCTTCTTTCTGATGTAGTTTGCATGAGTTCCAAATATGATATAAATACATGCTAAAAAAATTGTTTAATATTTATAGTTTAGTAATAATAAATAATACCAATTTATTTTATTGGGTACCAATTCTGGATCAGAATATTCAATATCCATTATAGCACCAATTCTCAAAGTACTACCATCAAATGTTGCAGTTGCATTAGGTACACATGAATGATTTATTACTGAAGCTGCTAAGTATATTCCGGTTCCGATAGTGTTCAAATTATCATCCAATATATTAAATGCATTAATGCACATCTATATCCAGAAACAATTTTTTGATTATTATTTTAAATCAACATAATTATGAAAATTCTTATCAATAAAAGTTATTAATATGTCTATTACTACACAAAAAAAAATACAGAATAAATAAAAACCACAAAAGAAAAGAAAAAATACAATTGTATTGAAATTTTGAATAGACAAAAATGTAAAATTATTAAAATTTACAATTTTAGGAAGTATAAAATGTTTTATAAAGCTGTTTTATTGGTTTTGGTAGTTGCAAGTAAAAATACATAAAATCACTTATCACATTAATACACACATTATGTTGTTTCTGTCACCTACGATTTACCCACCATCATTATAAACACTTTATATTACTCTACTCACCCGACCATAAATTCCAAGTAATTCAACAGCATTAGGAAGATTTACTTCTCCCATGTATTCTTTTAGCACTTCACATAGCGTAGAGAAATGTTCTAATCGATGGGTGTCATCCTTTAAATCAGGATAATCTAAAATAAAACATCTTAATGAGTTATATATATTATAATTAAAACAGTATGCAAATTAAATTACGTGACATGAGATCCTTGAATGTTCTAGAACGATTAGATGTGTAATAACCTTTTTCTGTACTTCCTCCATTCTATATAATATATTATATTATAAAACAGATACTTTTGAATACTATATGTACTCATAATATATATATTTACTATTTTTGAATATGTATTACAACCTTAAGCTTAATTAGTATTTTTGACATAATCCGTGCTGCATCTGGCAGTATTTTAGGATAAATTTTTTTCATTCTAGCACATTCTCGCTTATGCTCAGTCCAGGAAAGCTTCTGGCATGTGCGGTTACAGTAAAGGATGTATTGACACCCCGAACATCTTGACAGGTTATCCCTAAAATTTAATCATATAATGATGGAATTAATATAAAAATATATGAATATGTTTTAGTATACTATAATTATGTGCATAATTAATTATTATTATAGGCCAATAGCAAAAGCCAGTAAAAGGTAGGGAGCTCAGATAGGGTAGTATACAGGAAAAGGATTGTCTTGTTTTTTAGTAAATGTTATCTTGTATTTTATTAAAAAAAACTTAAATTCGTTAATATCTCATAATTTCTTCTAATCCTCAGTTACTATGAATTATACAATGAAAATAATAATTAAATAATAAATATGTTAATAGTTTAACAGTTTTTAAAATATAATGATCATTAATTAAAAAATAATTTTATTATTATATCTGTATTTAAATTTTCTTATTGTAAAGTAAGATAAAGTACATATAGATATGGACGATATGGTATTTAAACCCAATTTAAAATTTATAAATTTCTTAACTTTTAGTAATATATCCTGGATCCACGCATACTAAAATTGTAAACAAAACCTCAACACTGACAACCTTAATTGTTTTTAAAACAAATGTTTCTTTTAAATTCTGTTGTCTCTGTTTGAACCTGGATTTATGTCCAGTAGATATATTACAGGTTCACATACTACTTACATACATGCAAACGTTCAAGCTAAATTTTAAAAATGAGTTAAAAATTAACATTTTCAATAGAAAATTATCTATATAGTTTTTATAAAATGAATAGCTATAAGTAGATAGTGAACATTGAACACAATTAATTATTAATATGGGTGGAGTAGAATAAGATATTGTATATATTTTTCATGAATTTTTATTTTGAAAATCTGAGCACCCTGGTGTAAGGTAATATACTCACTCGGAATAGCAATGATCGCATTTTTCGTTTTTGAACGAAGACTTAAGAGCGTGAACGAACGGTTTATCGATTAGAATCGTGTCGCCTCTTCTATAGCCTTTTCTTTTTTTGTCCATAGTTGATCGATCGGCGTACGTCAAGCTCTGCGTATATCTACTAAACAAATAATAATAATGCAATCTGAATGTCAAGATCGAATGAAAACTGTAATGTTCAAAGTGTACAATGTTACCGACCGTGTTGGGCAACTTTTCAATGCACTTTGTCGGTTCTGTGGTAATACCTTTGGGCTATGACTAAAATAATAGAATTTATTGCTATATTGCACCGCCGCACACCGGACGAGGCGACGACGTCCGACACTCCGACGTCCCCGTACGAAAATAAATATGGATATATAATTATATTATTATATATACGCGATGAGTGATGATGATGATAATAATAATAATAATAATCTAATATTCGAATCGGCGTACCGTGGTTTCCTAAAATGCCGAAACTCTAAAGGCGCTGTGCACCGGCCAACAACAAATTTAGAGTAATATATTTCAGGTGGATACCTAAGTAAATAACGTTGTGTATTTAGTTCATAACCTATAACGAGTCCCGCCCTTTTTTCTTGCGCAATTCGCATCGATTCAAGAGCGATAACTGTCCATCAATCTCATTATTTCTTTCGCAATAATATTATATTTCCTGTTATTATTACTACTCTAGATTTCTATCAAGTGTACAATACAATATAGTATAGCGTATAATGTCCGCGGCGTACATCAACAATTGTAAGCTTTTGAAAAGTATTTGTTTGAACGTTTCTGGTGCTATCGGCAAGAGAAAAATGAGTATTATCAATAACGACGTCGGTTTGCATTCGTACGACGTAAGAAACACAAATACACAATTTTTACTTTTTATATTTTTTTTACATATATACATCGAGGATGTGGGAAGTGGGTAGCACGTGATATTTTAGTCACAAGTAGTTGATATGTATAATATATATATACATGTATCATATATCTTACATTATATACGTTTTGTATATTGTTTTGTCGTATTCTCTCGGGACGCACGATCTCATTATGTATATTATATTATATTACATCATTAATATGATTGCTCAAATGATAAGTATGACACGGGTGACACCTGTTGGAGTAGCTCAACAATAACCACCATGTCCTTGTGTACACTATAATAATATTTCATCAATATTGTATTGTATTACCTTTAATGTTTTTTTACTTGGGTAGATGTTAGTTTCAAGCATAGGGTTGATGAGTATCTATTATTTTCAAAAGCTGTGATATATTTATAGGATTATAGCTTCTAAATATTAAGTAATCGCAACTGTTATACGAAAAAAAAATTTGTTTATTTTATTTTTCAACAGTATTGTTGAATATGTGTCCTAAACGATTTCCTTGAAAATTGCTGCTTACATTGGACTTGTGTTTCTGAAGTACAATTTATCTAATTTCCATTAATCTGACTTAGTTGCCCTAGCCTATAATATATTATTATATCATTAGCCGCATCACATTCTTTTCAACTGTGTATAATTTTCAAGAATAAAAAATGTTTCTAACATTTTTATTAATATTATTAAAAGAAATAAATATTTCATTCAATGACAAAATGAAACTGTTATTCCCTTATTTATATGGATAATATTTTTAAAAAAATGTATTGTATTTGAGTTTTTATGAGTTGTATTAAAATATTAAAATATTATACTAAAATAGAACTGAGATATTCATAATAGGTATATCTAAAAGTTAAAAGATCAAAAAATCAAAAAATATACCTATTATGAATATCTCAGTTCTATTTTAGTATAATATATGTATAAGTAAGGTATATTGAGTATTAGTGATTGAAATGTAAAATACTAAAATGTATATATTGTTTAAATATGTCAAAAAGTTAGGCCATTTTGCCATTACTAGGGGGGGGGGGGGAGAGTTAACTTTAATTCTGGTAAGTGAATCAGTAGTTGAGTTAGATACATTTTGTATTCCTTTTAAATTGTGTCAAAGCTAAAATTACCTACTATAAAAATGATTAAATTTCAGCTCACTTAGCATAGTTATTATCTAGCTGACAATTGTTAATACCTAAAAATGGGTAATGTTATTTGGTTTTGATTATATGCCGTTATGCTGCTAAACTTCTTCTGTCTTCAAATATTTTACACGGAAGTGTATTAATTGTATATTGTAATATTAATTTGTTTTTAAAATAAGCTACCTATTATTTCAATATGATAAATAAATAAAAAAGTGATTTGATACTATGTAGATAAATATTTAAATAACACATTGTTATTTAAATTTTAGTTTTTTGATGTATAGGTTTATTGATCATTGATGTATCAAAAAAAAAATATTATTGATTCAAAAATTTAAATTTGACTATTTTATTTTATTTTAGTATTTGAAAAAAAATGTAGTTTTGTGTGGAAACATTGGAATTGTTAGAAAAACATAAATGTTTGTTTTGGAATGAACATTTTAATTTATATTGAGTTATGTTCAGTGTTTTGAGGGCTCAATCACTATTTTCTAACATACTGTGGGGAATTTGTGATTGATTTTATGAATATCGCTTTCCAAAATTTTACACCATATATGTATCTAGCTATTGGGAAAATAATAAATAATTCATTTAAATTTAAGAGATCATAGATAGACTAGGTAAAGATCAAATAACTATTAAGTATGGTTTATACAGTTAATTAAATATTAATCTAATATTTATTATAATAATAATGTAATTTAAATTAAAAATCCTTATAGGATGCAGTCAAAATGTTGAATTCTTTGCAAAGTTATACTTCAAAGTTAACTCGTCATCCAGGAAATTTAAAATTAGGACAGGTGAACACATTTTTAAATAGGTAATTAGATATAACTATTAAAATGTTTAAGTACAATTTAATAGATTTACTCTTGGTGTTGGTAGCTAATGTAAACTGTTCTGAAGGCTATAAATGAAAGTAGATGCGGTGTGAGTAATGAAGATTTGGACCAGCTTTCAGTCATTCATGTTGCTGGCACCAAAGGAAAAGGATCCACATGTGTATTTTGTGAACAATTGTTGTCATATAAAGGTTATCGCACTGGCTTATTTACTTCTCCACATTTAATCTCTGTCAAGGAAAGATTTAGAATTAATGGAAAAGTCATTACTGATGATAAGTTTGTGTTTTATTTTTGGAGTGTTTACAATACACTATTATCAAAACGAGTAAGTTTTTTATTTATTTTATCTAAAATTCTATTTATATATTTTTTGTTAGTAAACTAAATTGTCTCTAAATTTTAAACAAAAAACTAAACTAAATTATATCTAATTTATTTTAAATACATTATTTCACTAATATGTTTAGGAAAATAATAGTTTTTATTGGGAATTGGTTGGGAACCAAATCTAGGCCGGGAGTTTAAAATTTATCCAGGCCACCCACCAAAAATGTTTTTCTCGCTAAGCTCGAATTTCGTTTTTCGATTTACCTATTTCTAAACTATAATATAAGTAGGTTTATTTTTATTACTATCTTCAGTATTATAAAAGTATTTCAATCACTATTTTGTTATTTCTTTTAACTTCTGTCTTCTAAGGCATTATATTAATATAACACTAATACCTGCAAGTCTGAAATATAAAATCAGTAGGTATACTTTAATAGTTGAAACCAACAAAATACAGCACAAAGTGAGTCTTATAACCTAATGAATCTTATCGGCGAAGTGGGAAAAAAATGTAATTAATGATGAATTTTATTTTACTACAAATTTTGCTTTGATTTTAATGCTTTAATACATACTTATTATTGAATACCTAAATTAAAATAATTCTGATAAAAAAATTTTAATACATATAAAAATGATTACATGCATAAAAAATACTAAAATATTATAAAAGATGTACGTATAATGTATCTATTTATTATTTATGAAAAAAAATTGTAATTTTGGTTTGTTTTGAGTTATAAACTAATATTCCTGAAATATGTTGGATAATGTGAAATGCGATAAAATTTGTTGTACATACACACATAATAAAGCAAAAAAAAAAAAAATTTATTTCTAAATTTTAACCAAAAATGTTTATTTTTTACCATTTTTATTACAAAATTTGGGTCTTATAAACGAAGTGTTGAGTCTTAAAAGTTATTACCGAATTTTTAATAGTGTATTTGGATACGTCCGGACCGTTTCAGACGATTTTGAGTTAAATAAGTGACTGAACCTTATATCTGTGTCTTATAAGCGGCGTCCACTGTATTAATAATTATTTATTGTGTTGTAATGGTTTAGGTATAGTAGGTATAAGGTAATAAGTAATAAATAAATACATAAATTATAAACAACATAAAAAAAAATTTATACATTTATAATAATAATTTAGATAATAGCTTAGATTTCTCACCAACTGCATTCATGATAATATTATTATCTATTTCCATGTTTTATTTTAAAAATAACCAGCATATATCATTACATTGCTTTGATTTTATTTGACGTCTATAGTCATGTACATACCAAATATTTTGTAATTTTATACCTAAGCAAAGCTTTCTCATACGATTGTATACTGCTATTACTATGTACTATTATTGTATGGATAATATTTGTAATACAATAGTTTAATAGAAACAAATTTTTGATGCATTTAGCATTTACTAATATTTTGTAAGTTAAATTAAATTAAAAAAAAAAAAATAACAAAATGGTCAGGCCACCAAGCCATCTAGAAAATTCCTATTTCCATACCGGGCACTCCGCTCCTGATTAAAGCTTTTAATTATTTTAGGGTAACGAAGAAGAATTACCAGCTTATTTCATGTTTTTGACTGTTATGGCATTTAAAATGTTTGTCGATGAAAAAGTGGATGTTGCAATCATAGAAACTGGAATTGGTGGCGAATATGATTGTACAAATATATTAAGGTACATTTCATAATTCCTTAAGTATCTATTTTTAAAATAAGATTTTTTTGAGCAATAATACATGAATAATTATAGAAAGACACCAGTTGTTGGAATTTCATCGCTAGGATTTGATCACACAACTGTACTAGGAAATACTTTACAAGAAATTGCTTGGCAAAAGAGTGGAATTATGAAGCAAAATTCTGTAACAATTGTTGCTAGTGATCAACCCAAAGAAACTCATCAAATATTAATTGAACGTAGTATAGAAAAACAGGCAAGTAAATTATGTCCATTATTTTTGCACTTCAACAATTTGTAGCTATACCTAGTAATTTTATTTATATAAATTAACTGATGTTTTATAAACTCAATGCTTATATCAATCAGATATCATTTTTATATTATCATTATATCATATATTATTATTATAATTTTAGACAACATTATTGGAAGCTCCACCGTTCAACAAGTATAATTGGTATGTAAATACTTCGGAATTAGGAGTTTTTAATACAGCACAAGAGATAAATGCTTCACTTGCTATTCAACTTGCTAATGCATGGATAAATCGAAAGAATAAAGGTAAGTATTATATATTTTACATAAAATATGTTAGCATTAATTACCATTAGGTTATTGCAATAATAATTCAGTTAGTTTGATGTAGTAAGTAGTTAACTATAAAGTGTATCTGAAAAAATGTATTCCTTTTAAAAAACTAAAAAATATCTCATAATTCGAATAGATCTAGTAGCTGTTTATGTAAATTATTAAGTAACTAATAGAACAGAGTATCTTCAATTTGTAATATTGCAAAAACTATTATTTAAATTGATAAAAAAATATAAGAATGGGTGTACATGTCTTATGCAGTCTACCATGTTTTTCCGTCTGCCGTAATACAGTGAAGCTGTGCTGCGCTAGGACAAAAATAAAATAAAACATATCCCTCCACTTACTATGCAACTCCTTCTCAAGTAGATCACAGGATAATCTCCAGATTATTAAGATGGCAGACGAAAAAACACGGTAGAAGGGAAACACTCTAAAAATACATATTTTTCCATCTGCGGTCTTAAAAATTTGGCGGTTACCGGTGACCTACTTGTCGAGGTGTTGCATGTCAAGTCAAAGGATATTTTTGTTTTCTTTGTCTGAGCCAGCACCACGTAGGGAGTGGCCACACAGGCATCACTGCATGTAGACGGAAAAACATTTTAGACCGCATATGACATGAATACCAAAAAATGTATATACTATTTTTAATTTGTTCTAGATTGGCTAAAAAAATGCAATGTTGGACTAAGTGGAATGAAACAAGCTCCAATCTGGGAAATAAATAAACAAGATAAACAAGCAATAAGGGATGTTAAGTGGCTTGGTCGCAATCAAGTTCTAAACGTAACACATAATTTATCATATTTCTTAGATGGAGCCCATACAATTGAGAGTATTCAGTTATGTAGTAAATGGTACCAAAGCGTTTGTCCTAAGTCACAATCGTAAGTCAATATAACAGGGGTACATTAAACATCCAAAAATATGTGATTAGAACCATATTTTATCCGAAAAGTTATATTCAAAAACTGTAGTTTGTCCGAATATGTTAACCAAATGTAAATTAACAGAAAATATTTTATCTGAAAGTTAGGTTAATTTTGGGGACATTATTTTCTACATTATCATTTATGAATGTAATATTTTTGAATAAAACATTATGTGTGTATTTAAATTTTGTATCGAATAGTTTTCAGATAAATATATTTTTGGATAGTTTGTAGGCTATATACCATTATTTTTGTTGTATTTAAGTAAATTTATATATTTTTTTTTTCCAGGAATGTACAAAATATTTTAATATTCAATGTAACGGCATTAAGAGATTACTACACGTTTTTAAAAATACTTTTAACTGAAAACAAAATAGATTTAGTTTTGTTATGTCCAATAATTACATCACTTGATAATCGCCGTCCAGGTAACTATCATTAATCATAAAATTTATAATGAGTTGGCAATGTTGGCATAAAAATTAATTAATAACATTTGGTGATAAATTATGAAGGAATAAACTAAAAACATATGATAATACAATTTTTTAAATTTTCATACTAATCATATTTTATTTTGGAGCTTTCTACAATTCTACCCAAAACGATATCAAATATATTTGTTTATCTGGTCAATAGCTTATTTTAGTAATTTTGTCAAAACCAACAACCAAATTTACTTTATTCTTATTTGTTTGATACTCCTAATACTCTAGTGCTGGGTCGCATAAACAATAACTAAATATTCAATGAACCAATAATGAACGACCGGTTAAATTAACCTTTAAATTAATCAATTTATTATGTATACCATTATTATAGGTCTTTCAGTAAACATTTTTTGTTTTTATTGTAAATTGCATACATTCAAAATGCACATAAGTATTTAAATTTAAAATTATGGATAATTTGGAGACTCCTTATATTTTTGTTATTATTATTATTATTACTATCGTCATAATTTATTTCAGATACTGTTGATTTGAATTTCAATTATGAAGAACAATTAATCAAATGTCATGATATGAAAAATTCTATAGATTTTTGTGATGTAAAAGTATTTAATTCTATCCAAGAAACTATCAATCATGTTGGAAAGTGCAGCTCTTCTGACAAAAATACAATCTTTAAAATTTTAGTAACTGGCTCTTTAAAACTTGTTGGTGGAGTTTTAGAGGTCCTCCAATCATGACATTTATTTTATAAATAAACCAATTCCATAGAATATTAGTTATTGTTAGTGATAAAATTTAATCTTTTCAGTTTATTTAAGCATAAGCGGTACTATTCAATTATTTATAAGAATACATGTGTTAATTATTTTGAAAATCAGTAACAATTTTTTTTAAACATTTATTTTTGTAAAACATCGTTTAAGAGATGCCATAATATATTGCATTTAAACAAAGATTTAAATCACTTTTGCTGAATCACAGACAACCGTTACTGACTTTTCCAACTAATTAACATACAGAGCTTAGCTCTATCTTTTTTATATTATATTTATCTATTGCCTTGTGAAATTTATTTAGTTTGTAATATTATTTCTAATTTCTAATTATAATCAAATTATAAATGCTCAAATATATTTTAACTTTTTGTTACCATTTAAAAAAAATGTTGATCACAGTTATTGTATTTTTTTAAAAAAAATTGGCTTATTGAAGTATAAAATGTAGTTAGTCTTTTTATTTCATTTAAAAAAATATATATTTAACTTAAATCAGTTTCTTATGTATGTACACAGTAGATAATTTGTAAATAACTTTTTTAACAACACTAAAACATGCTCATGCCAAATTTCAACCAATAAAAAATTACTGATATATGATTTGCTAGCCAAAAGCTCAAAACATATCTAATCAGTTTTACATTTTGATTGAAGTAATGATAATGCAAAGTTGGAGCTAAGTGCAAGAATAATATTTAAATTAGTTCTTTTGAGAAAGAATTCTACAAAAGTACTAAGTAGAACTTTTATTTTGTTATAACATTATGTATTGATTGAAAATTGGTATTTAAAATATTCAAAACGTGTCAATATTAATGTATTACTAATAAATAAGTTATTTCTTTTAACAGTTATCAAATTATAAGCATCTGTGCTAACCACTATTTGCATTGAACTGCATTATCACATTTCAGGTACAACTGATATCATTTGAATGCTGTGGGTAAGACTAACGGCACTGGTGGAGTCATATGGAAAACGCTATTATATTATTCTTTGGCACTGCCACTGGTTACTTTTGTGATTTAAGTTGCTGAAATTTATTGTACTCTATCAATCTATGTTTTAACTAAGAGATTAAATGTTTAAAAGTATAATATGATAACTGATATAAACTACTTCACCAATTCAGCCATTATGCTTTACCAATAATAGATTTTTCCAAAATATATGTAACTCAAGTAACTAGCTTCACCTAAAATTCAATACCTCATAATAATTCACAACAAGAGTATGGAATATGTACTTTGTAGAGCATTTGATATACTGAATGTGTAAAATGATCCTGGTCATGTTGGTTGAATTTGAATTCACATGTTACAGTTTACAGCAATAACAGGTTGTTTGTATATTAAAATGATCAATAAAATATAAAATAAATTAAAAGGAATTACATATTGACAAAAATGTAATTAAAAAAAACTGTTATTATTCAAACAAAAAGGTGGTTGAACTAAACAGAAATAAAAAAGGAAATTGTACGGTTAAACAATTTTATACATACAAGTTTACAATTAGTGAAAAGATACGTTTATATGTATTTTAACGTTCTTCTTCTTTAGGTTCATCAATGTTGTTCTCAGGCTTATGCAGTTGATGTGTTTTTTTATTTCCCACGCAACTGGCACATTCGTCATTGTCACTTTCATTGCTTTCATCTGTATCAGGCTCTCCAAATTTTTTTGGTTTTTTGTAAATACAACAACATTTGCTCTTTTTCTTATTCAAGTGCTCATTGTCAACAGTGTGTGCATCCCAACTAACCTGTTTGTGACTCTTTTTGGGTTTCTTTAATTTTAAATGTACCACTTGGCCATCATTTGCTTGTGGGCGTAACACCAATGTTGTACTACTATGGAATGGTACATTAGTTTCTTCCATTTAATTTAGTTATTCAAATTTTAACAAATTATTATATGATAAGTTGATTAATTTAATATATGGCTAGTTAATAATACAACCATTAACTAACATAACTACTAAATGAAATAAGATTATGAACTACGAAGTTATAAAAACGTTTGCATAATGCATAATAAAGTAATAAACAAGACTGAAAGTTCAACGATTAAAAAATTATAATATAATAATAAATAATACTATTATCTAATATCAAAGAACAATCAAAGACCTATATACACTGAGGTAGATAAGAATATAGTATTTTCTTATCTATCTCAGTGCCTATATAATATCTATTACCACAGGACAATATTATGCTTTAACCGAATAGATTAACTGATTATTATTTATGCGAGGTGGATAATTTCTTCTACGATCGTGGTTTTATGCATGGCTAATTAATAACTTATTTATTTAGCCATGGTTTTATGTAAACAAAAATGGGACGTTATCATAGATAATATATATTATCTATATATTATCTATGGACGTTATAAAAACCGCGTTATCACTCCTTGTCAACTCTCGCATTTTTGGCCTTACCATATTTGATTATTATTATGTATTTTGACTTTTTGTTTTTGAAAATGGTGGATACCACATGACATAAAAATAATTGTATTTTGGTTACTGAAAATTACAATATTATAGTTATTTCAGTTGGAGTTATTAGATCCCTTGTCTTTAAGATGTCATTAATCTTTAAAGATTATCTTTATAGGTATATGCATTAGCTTTAACACATTAGTACCATAGTATTGTTGGTGTGCACCACGATCCACGATTAAAGACATCTTTACTGCACTAGCGTTTATCTTTTCTATCTTACCAAACCCAACAAAAAGCAAAGAAAAAATATTCACACCAAGAAAATACAAAAATTCGACTTCACTACAAATTAACCACCAGGAAATTAAATGGAACAAAAAAGACGACTCAGTAAAATATCTGGAACCACATCTTGATGAAAAATTATGGTGGAAAATACACATTAACGAAAAATTAAACCAAGGGTGTACCAGGCTGCAAATTCTGTATCCCTTATTAAACCATACAAATGAAATGCTCTCAATTCCTATACACAGCAATAATAAGACCGTTAGTAACCTTTGGTAAGGGCAGCAGCCTCAAAAACAACAATTATAAAATTACAAATCCCTTATAATAAATTTTCAAGAATAGCCCTAAAAGCCCCAAGGTTAGGGACTTAGGATATATCATGGCTTAAATATACAAGGTTATTGCACATAGCCAAATTGTTATCAAATAAAAATAAAATGGCAGCGTAAGGGTACGGTCCATATCATAGGATATAATATCATAATATAGCCTGTATACGTCATAGAGTAATATTACTCTATGGATATATCTTAGGATATAATATCTTAGTTCATGTAAATATGAATATGGAATAGTGATAGCGATTAGCGGTAGTGGAAAAAGTATAAGCAAATTCGACCACGGTTCTGGTTACTAGAACTAAACAGGCCAAACGCTAGATCATATTGGCGTTTGCAATGTTTGCAAACGTTTGCAGCTTCGCTTAGCAAACAGACCGTCCGAATTTCTCCGCTATCAAACGTTTGCAACGTTTCCGCTCTTAGATCTAAGTTTCCGCTACAGAATTTCCTCATAGATAAGAATATTAATACATACACTTTGGTCTATCATGGTGGTAAGAGTGGAGGACGCTCTACCCATAGATAATATATACATATATATATATATATATATATNACGAAGTTATAAAAACGTTTGCATAATGCATAATAAAGTAATAAACAAGACTGAAAGTTCAACGATTAAAAAATTATAATATAATAATAAATAATACTATTATCTAATATCAAAGAACAATCAAAGACCTATATACACTGAGGTAGATAAGAATATAGTATTTTCTTATCTATCTCAGTGCCTATATAATATCTATTACCACAGGACAATATTATGCTTTAACCGAATAGATTAACTGATTATTATTTATGCGAGGTGGATAATTTCTTCTACGATCGTGGTTTTATGCATGGCTAATTAATAACTTATTTATTTAGCCATGGTTTTATGTAAACAAAAATGGGACGTTATCATAGATAATATATATTATCTATATATTATCTATGGACGTTATAAAAACCGCGTTATCACTCCTTGTCAACTCTCGCATTTTTGGCCTTACCATATTTGATTATTATTATGTATTTTGACTTTTTGTTTTTGAAAATGGTGGATACCACATGACATAAAAATAATTGTATTTTGGTTACTGAAAATTACAATATTATAGTTATTTCAGTTGGAGTTATTAGATCCCTTGTCTTTAAGATGTCATTAATCTTTAAAGATTATCTTTATAGGTATATGCATTAGCTTTAACACATTAGTACCATAGTATTGTTGGTGTGCACCACGATCCACGATTAAAGACATCTTTACTGCACTAGCGTTTATCTTTTCTATCTTACCAAACCCAACAAAAAGCAAAGAAAAAATATTCACACCAAGAAAATACAAAAATTCGACTTCACTACAAATTAACCACCAGGAAATTAAATGGAACAAAAAAGACGACTCAGTAAAATATCTGGAACCACATCTTGATGAAAAATTATGGTGGAAAATACACATTAACGAAAAATTAAACCAAGGGTGTACCAGGCTGCAAATTCTGTATCCCTTATTAAACCATACAAATGAAATGCTCTCAATTCCTATACACAGCAATAATAAGACCGTTAGTAACCTTTGGTAAGGGCAGCAGCCTCAAAAACAACAATTATAAAATTACAAATCCCTTATAATAAATTTTCAAGAATAGCCCTAAAAGCCCCAAGGTTAGGGACTTAGGATATATCATGGCTTAAATATACAAGGTTATTGCACATAGCCAAATTGTTATCAAATAAAAATAAAATGGCAGCGTAAGGGTACGGTCCATATCATAGGATATAATATCATAATATAGCCTGTATACGTCATAGAGTAATATTACTCTATGGATATATCTTAGGATATAATATCTTAGTTCATGTAAATATGAATATGGAATAGTGATAGCGATTAGCGGTAGTGGAAAAAGTATAAGCAAATTCGACCACGGTTCTGGTTACTAGAACTAAACAGGCCAAACGCTAGATCATATTGGCGTTTGCAATGTTTGCAAACGTTTGCAGCTTCGCTTAGCAAACAGACCGTCCGAATTTCTCCGCTATCAAACGTTTGCAACGTTTCCGCTCTTAGATCTAAGTTTCCGCTACAGAATTTCCTCATAGATAAGAATATTAATACATACACTTTGGTCTATCATGGTGGTAAGAGTGGAGGACGCTCTACCCATAGATAATATATACATATATATATATATATATATATATTATCTATGCGCTCTACCTGAGAATTAACCAAGTTGGATATATCCACCTTGGAAGTAACCAAATCCTTATCACCATTTACAATGTAATGATTAATGAAACCCTTTACTTCATTATCCGACATTTCAACCAGCAACTTTTTATAGATAACAATTTTTTTGCCATTGCGCTTGCAGATACCGCAACCCGTTGGCCGTAGTTTCTCACTGTTCTAAATACTTAAATAATTTTTTTGTTACGAAATCAGAAATCTAACGTTTTAATTTTATTAGCATAATTAAGTACATTAATAACATTTTCTACGAATAGTTATTCACACATTTTATTGATTTAATTATTGCACTGCAATAATATAAAGTTTGGTTTTTATTGATTAAACGGTTACATAATGGCAGTATCGGCAGCTGCTGCGTTACTCGATGAACTTATGGGGAGAAATCGAAATGACGGACCAAACGCTCAAAAGAAACCTGTACATTGGGAAGATCCTGAGGTAAATTATTTTGGCTAACCACGAATCGTTGCCATGTCAACACGACAATTATTTATTTATTGAACACTTATTTAATAAAATTAAAATAATTTTATAATTTTATTATTATAAAATTATATTATATATTTTATAAGTTGCAATCATTTTTTATACATTTTGAGGACGGTTAATGGGAGGTTACCTTCAGTTATTTTAACAAAGTGGACATTTTCTCCCAAGTAATTTTCAGTTTCACATATTTTGCTCCTAATTTTATTTTTATAGACATATTCTTCATATACTTATATCTATTTACAAGTGATAAAATTAAGGATGAGGCGAACTTCAGTTATCGCAAATTCAAATCAAATTGTGAACTTTAAAATATTTAAATATTTAACCGTACTAGATTATAAAATATAAATATTATTATAACCCTAGATCTTATACTAATAGACAGGGCAAACGAGTAGTTTGAGTGGTCTTGACTGGGGTACTGGATCCGTTGTTCAAAGTACATTCTCAGTAGAGTATACAACAAACTATGTTTATAATTATATATTAATATATTATATATATATTACTGTAATGCGAATTGCCATGGACTGCATTACCAAACTCTACTGGCATTATATCCGCCGTCTTCTGTGATTATAACAGTGTTTATATTTAAAATAAATGCTAAGGTTTGAGATCTTTTCCGAATTAAAATGCTGGAGAAGGGGTAAATGTTAGATTTCCATGTGTTACTGAATTTAAATTGTAACTTAAAAAACTTGGACTTTAAAACTGAAATTAATTGGTGATTTTGGGATGATTCATAGAACTTATGAATCCCTTGTTGGTTTTTGCTTGAATTTTACATGATACTCATATTTTAATCAACTATTTACAATCTTGTGTTTTGGATAAATAATGTTTGTTTGTTTTTGATATCTGAATTACCTATATGTTTCAATTCAATTTTTGTGGACTAATACAAAAAAATCCCCTTTCCAGATTATAAAAAAAAAATTGTTTTCAGTATTATTTCACAATAGGTAACCAAATTATCTTTCTTGTTAAAATATAACAATTAATGTTTATTTTATGCTTCATTTATATATTTTTTGTTTTCAGTTTTGTAAATATTTTATGGTTAAATTTTGTCCTCATGATCTATTTGTCAATACTCGTGCTGATCTTGGAGCTTGTCCTAAAGTTCACTGCGAAGAAGCTAAAACACAATATAATGAAGCTAGTAGCCGTTCAAAAATACAATATGAAGATGAATTTGTGGCATTTGCTACTAGTTTATTGAATGATGTTGAGCGCCGCATCGAAAAAGGGAAACAAAGGTTGGAGCTTATGAATAAAACTGAAACGGTTAGTATTTTAAATCTATTTTATGATTAATTAGGTAACATTACATTTTTTATGTAAGTTCTTAAACAATATTAAAAATAACCTATTTACAGTCATTGTTTATAATAATAAACAGTACAAAAATGAAATCAATAATTTCATTTGGCCTATAAAGTTGTTAGCGTATTCTATAGGTAATTAAAAAAAGGCAGATTGTGATCGGATGCTGTATTGTTGATCATGGATGCGGCGCTTACAGCCTCGAATCTTAAACACGTCAAAGGTTTTTGAGGTACATCATTAAATAATTCCCCCCCTTTATATTTTAATTATTAAAGTAATAACTAAGTTTAGATTTTAGCTTCAATTGTGTAAATATGTGGGTGATAAGTCTTAAATTTGTATTGTATTATGGTAGTGTGTTTTTAATGTATACTATTGTTAAACTTAAGCAATTTCATTTATTAATTATTCTGTATTAGGTCATTTTTAATTTCGGAACTTTTCTGTTTTTTCCGACACCTATTTAACATATGTAGTTAAGCATGCTGAAAGTGCTGGTTAAGTCAGAATTTGTAGGTTGGACTTGGTTCTATAGTTATAGCTAGACAAAAATTTAGTATTTTCATATATTCCAGGCTTGGCACTTGCTCGCTTGGACAATTAAAATCACTAACATCCTTCGACTTATAACTTCAAAATTAAGTCTGACTACTAAAACTTAACCATTGTTTTTCAGCATGCTCAACTACATGCTTTAAAACAAAAAGAATTGTAAAAATAAGGGTGTCATATAAAACAGAAATATACCTTAAATTCTTCAAAACAATACAATTACGTTAATCGTTTTAAAATTTACGAATTGATTCTAAACATTTTAATACATAATTTTATACAAATAAATTATAATGTCAATGACTAATGAGTAATGACAAATATTTTATTAATAATATATAATTATACACTTTGTTATAACAATTTACATAATATTCCAAAATCTATATCAATTTATTAATTATCTTAATAGATATGTATTTTATATATCATATGAGAATTTAAGAAAATTATCAGTTATAGCTAATAATCAAATCATAAGATCTTAATTATCATGAGAAGTGATTTTAGTTTGGTTACTGTAGGATTTTTATTTATCTAATATTGGTTATAACATATTTCTTACATGATTTTAAATTTAGACTTCTTATTAATAAATTTGATATAATAATAGCTTTGGGAAATATAATTTGATTAACATTAGTTAATAATAATATAATTAAATAACATTTTGATTTAATATTTTGTAGCCGGTGTCCCATTCTAATAGCCAAAGTCAGAAAAACCAAGAGCAAATTAAATTATTGTCAGAAAAAATTAATGGGTTAGTGCAAGAAGCTGAACAAATGGGTACACGTGGTCATGTTGAAGAAGCTCAAGGACTTATGAAGCTCTGCGATCAATTAAAAGAAGAACGTGATACTTTGAGAAAGCAAAATGAAAGCATTCATTGGTCACAAGTAATTACTTTTAAAAGAATAAAATTATATACTCTATAATTTCACTCTGTGTAATTCAATTTTTATTTTAGACATATGAACTAGCTGCTGCTCAAGAAAAACAAATGGAAGTATGTGAAGTTTGTGGAGCTTTTTTAATTGTTGGAGATGCTCAGTCCCGTATCGATGATCATTTGATGGGAAAACAACATATGGGTTATGCTCGATTAAAAAATGCAGTAAATGAAATACAAGAGCAAAGGAAAAAGTATGTAGAAGAAAGAGAAAAGCAACGTGAAGAAGAAAGAAAAAAACGCATGGACCGTACTAGGTATTTTATTTTACCTCTACAGTTAAATCTCAACTATATTTTGATTTTTAAATAACACAGGAGTAACTCTAAAGACGTTGATAGACATAGTCGTGATGCTAATAATGACAAGAGATCTAAAAGCTCAAGAGACCGATCCCATCATAGAATTGATAGGTAAGGATGTGTGAAAAAAAAGAAATGTTAAAATGTTTAGTTAATCAAATTTTTATATCATCAAAAAAATAATATCACAGGAAATCTGAAAGACACGAAAGAGAAAGACGGAGAAGTAGAAGTCGCAGTGATCGTCGTTCTTCTAATAGTCATAGGCATAGAGGTAAATTTGTTTTATATAGTTACTATATGAAATCAGTGTATATCAACCTTTATATTTTTAAAATATAGGGCATAATGGTAACAGTCGTAGAGATCACTAGAATTTTATTCAAGACACATTTCATTCAATTAATTCAGGTAAATATTTTCTATTTTATTGAACTAAAGCATTTAGAATTGAATTTTAAAAACAATGCTATTGATGAGGTGTGTAATTTAAAACAAGAACGGGGTTAAGCTTATAATTATGTTAATTTTAAAATAAAAACAAAAGAAAAAACATCCATAAAAAATATTTGAATAACAAAATCCTGTTACAACTATGGTGTAAATTATCACATAGCAGAAGAAAATGGTCATATTGGGCGCTTTATTTCAAAAAAGTGCTTACTCATCATTCGAAAGTCTGCAGATCTTCAAAAATTACATGTGACTTTTTGTCAGGTATTTATATATAACGAGGTATTTATAAAAAATAAAATATCTGAAGTAAATGAATAGTGTTAATTTATATAAAAAACTTATTTAGGGGAAAGTTTTATTCTATGTTGTTACATTGCAATTTTTAATATTAAATTATTTTATTTCATGGCAGATATTAAAATGTAAACCGGTATACTTTAATTCAGATTTTAGATATTTATTTATTTATTTTATTAATAAATCAAGTACTATTTTATTTATTGGTTAAAAAATTGCCCAAGTTATATTAGGCCCAAGGTATAATTGTCCAACCTATTTATGAATTTACATATAAGGTTTATAAACTTGAGTAATATTGCTATTTATTTATTTTCTATGACCTTTTTTTTATTCTGTGTAAAATTATTAAATGAAAAAGTAATGATTGTATCAAACTTAAATTTCAAGATCTTTATGATATAAACATAAATAAATAACACAAGCATGATACAGTGTTATTTATACTAAATTTGCATAGGGTTATAATTTATGTATATTTTATTGATGGTATGGTTTTTACAATTAATAAAAATATGTATACATTTGTTTGCAAATAATAATTTTTTATGAAAATAGTGTTATATCTAAACATATAATTATTATTAATTTATAAGAATAATTGCATTATGGATTTTTACATATAAAATATTTACGATTTCTTTTTTTTTCTAGGTTCAAATATCTGATGATGTTGTGTATAATGTTAAAATGTATAAACACAAAATACCATTCTAAAAAAATTAAGAGTTTTCAGGTAACAATTCAATAAAAAAATTATAATACTTATTTCAATATTTTATTTAATGAAATAAACAACTTTCATAAAAAAAAAAATGCTATTGTGATTATAATTAAAAAACATATTTTACTAATTTACATTATGTCATATTTAAACAATTAATACTTAATAAAATACAAACTACTTGTTAAATGTCAACTAAGTAACGCTGTCAGGGCATCAAAAAACTTTGGTCGATCTTTAGTTTGCATTTTTGCAATAGACGAATCAAAGTAATCCAATGAAACTTCAATATTCGTTTTATTGGAAACTTGTTCGAATGCTTTTCCAAAAAAACTATAACATTTAAATTATATTACACTTTAGATTGAAAACTATTTACATGCTGTAATTATATTATTAATTAATAAATTAAAATTTTTAAACAAAGGGTTGTCTTTTATATTGTCCTTAAATACATATGAAATCATGAGTTGTGATGCAAATATACAGATTATTCACCATGCCTCCTCGCACAACTACCCAATTATCCCATTGATAGAATTCTATGCATTCGGTTAATATACATCAAACTTTTGATTTAGTAGAGCGATGATAAACAAGTATTCTGTGTTTAAATTCTGGTCTAAGGTATGCTCTATATTTGAAGAAAATTCACCTAATGATTAGACGTGGTTAGAATCCCTTTGGCAATATATTCATTTCAGTCTGTTACAGTTTAAAATAAAATATTATACAGATAAATACCTACAACCTACTAATATTTATTTTACTCATTTGTTAAATATTTTAAATATATAGACAAATTAACTGATAGTTGATTTTAAGACCCATATTTATTTGAACTAAGTCCCAATTATTTTTAATTAAAACACAGAAGAAAAAAAATTAAATTTTACATACCCTATTTAAAAGTGATTGCCAAGTTTCAAGTAACCATAATTAATGATTGGAAAAACCCAGACTAGTTGATTATTTTTCTTAATAAATGTAAAAGAAAACATTTGTATACCAACAAAATAGTTATAAAGAAATCTGAACTACCAAAATGTATTATTGGTATGAACCTTTACTAAGGCGAACTAATTGCCCAAATGATCAATTCAACAGATTTATATATTGTGTCATTTGTTAAAGTTATTAAGAACTAATAACATTTGGTATGTCATTTGAAGAAGCTTCATTAATATTAGTTTTAAATTGTTCATCTTGTTTTAGTTTATCAGTATAATCTCAATAACACGAATTTCAAGTGAGAAAAAAAAATTGGGGTAAAAATGTTTTCAAGTTATTGCGATGTGACTGTATATCTGTTAGTTAATATTTTGACAAATTTGATTTAAATAATGGCATGAAAATTATTAAAAATAAAAATATCATTTAACTGACCTTCTAGGCATTGACTCGGTGATAGGAGGGATACCAACCACTAAACATGTATCTTGATCTGAATCAAGAGATGCTGAAGCAATTAATGGCAAACGAGTCAATTTGACTTTTCGTGATGACGCTACTTGAGCTCTTAAAGCAAATGATGCTAACATAATTAAGCAGTGAGGATTGGAATAGTGCTGAGAATGCAACGTACCCTATGCAACAAATTTAATAATATTAAACAGAAATATACTTTTAAACCAATAAAATAATTGTGAAGTTAATAATGCGGTAGTGTAATTTAATACCTCTTGTACAATTAAATAGTAAAATGGTCCAGCCAATATGACTTGTCTCATGTCCAGTGCCGCCTGGACATGCCTAAACATGTTGGACAATATCCATTTGGCTTTTTCTATTCCTTGGTCTAAAAAATCTTTTTTTGATCTAACATAATTCAATTTATTATTTATTATTTTTTTGTTTGCAAATATATTGTTAGTTTATTAATTTCTGTTTCTTACCTGGACAACGAATCCATTGTGTTATAAAAACACTGTGTAGGGGAACATTCACGAGACTACAAATGTGAGTGAACAGAAAAAGTACATATAAAATACAAATAATGTATATACAAATTAAAGTGTAAACCATAAAAACTTGATAAACTTACATTGGTTTCCAATGTAGCAACCATTGAATAAACATAGTCAGCACATTGATACCTTGTTTTAAATCCTTGATGTAGCATAAATGACGGATAAGTCATTTGTAATAAATTATGGGTATTGGAAATTTTTTCCATCATACCATAAAATTGTTTACGTAAACCCAAATCCATTGAATGGTACATTTGACGACTTTCCGCTAAAGGTAACCTTAAATGAATAAGATAATGTTGTTAACCCAAAATTGACTTCAAAATTAAACAATGACGTGGACAGGGATAGAGGTCATCTGAGAATGCCTGAAATCATACTGGGGGGGGGGGGGAATCCATGACATATCCGAAGAGTTGCCTGTGTCGAGAATACAATATTGTAGTATCGTTGCCAAACTTAAGAGATACCATATAAATGTATAATAGTAATAAAATATATTTGTGTGAACCCTCACTAAATGAAAAATTCTTAAATTCTCCACTAGTACTCACAAATGCTGTGGACTGCATTAATTATACAGAGTATATAATATAGAAACACGAACAATTCAATACATAGAGCTAAAATGATAATGACTTGTGTTTACCCCATTTCTGCTAATATTTGTTTCAGTCTTTTTTCGCCTTTAATTGTCCAAAGTTTCAAAGATACTGCTGTAAACATTGAATATCGAAGACTGCATTCAATCGTCCAATGTCTGTATAGAGCCAATAGTAGACTGTAAATTGGTAATTAATTAATGAATCATATTTAGTAATATGTACTTAACTCAAAATAGTTTACTCTTTTTCGGATTCAATTCGAAGATGTGTAGAAGTGTTTGAGGGTTTAGACATTGACGACTGTGACATATTATCTTCGTTGTCATTGATAACTGTAGATTCACAAATACGACCAATGTGACCAGCTATCAATTCTACTTCTCTAAGGTAACGCATACGTTCTGTCTTGCCCAAGATGTATTGTTCAGTCACACCAACAATTCCCCACCTGATAAAAATGTAAAATTCATAAATCATTGTATATTAAAGATAGAAAAATGTCTAATTAAATTATTTACCACAATAAATCAACAGATTCCCTGTGTAATTTCCAAGCAAGATCAAACATTAACATTGCAGCCTATAAATTAAAAATTCATATTATAGAGTGAGAAAATATTTTAGAACATTAAAATATGCATACTGAACGCCCATAGTATGAAAATTGAGTATAATCAAATAACAATTTTTTTCTATTTTCTTCCCATTTTCTTCTTTCTCTTCTTTTAACTAATGTGTTTTGATCAAGTTTTCTTCTTTTGTTTTGTTGTTCTTCAACGCTATCGATATTAACAACATCAGATTCTTCTTCATCCACTTCATCGGAGTCTACATTTTCATCTGATGACTAAACATATAAAAAATATGTAGTATTACTTTTATGAGCAGATAAAAAAAATAATTACTTCATTCTCATTAAAAATGTCTTCAAAATCAGGGATTTTTTCTTCATCATCAGGTGGTGTCAGTACTCTTACCTAAAATACAATAAACAATTTTAAATATTTGTAACATGAAGATTCACAAAGAATAAAATACCTGAGAACTACTATAAATGTTGCATATATCTGTAGGTCTATGACTGTCAACAACAAAAAAAGTAATATTTTCCTCGGGTTCTAATACTTCTATTATATCTAACGTACCTCCACAGTTGATTAACACAACATATTTTACCTAAAAATATTTAATACTTGAACATGTAAAATCTTGAACAAAAATGATAGTACCGAAATGCTTACATCAATTTTTTGCTCTTCAAAAGCTTTTTTTAATTCTGTAATAGTTTTTACTGGTACAAGCACATAAACTATATTGTCAAAACGTAATATGCACTGAAGTATTTTCACAGCACAAATTGCATCCACATCATAGTTAACCAAAATCAGAATTTTCTATAAAAGATAAAAAAAAAAAAATGTTTGGAATACCTATTAATACTATAATAATTAAATTACTAAAGTAGGTCAGTAAATAATATATAATTTAATAATACAATATAAACATGAATAGGAAACCTATTTTAATTATTTGAGGAAAAAAAATAATTGAATAAGGTTGTGCAAAAGTAATTGATGAATGATTCATTAGGCATTTTTATTATAAAACTTTAATTTTTACAAATCCTTTGGACATTTTGTATGATAAAATGTTTTAGATTTAATAATTGAGAAATGTGTATAATCAGTGGCGTAGTCAGGGAGGAGGCTGAGGGCCCTGCAGCCCCTCCCCCCCCCGAAATGCTAATAAAATTTAAAAATTATTTTAATGGTCTATGGTATTCGATCAAAAACTAAACCACCGCTGTGTAAAAAATTGATCNCCCCCCCCCCCCCCCCCCGAAAAAAATCCTGGCTACGCCACTGTGTATAATACAATCTATAATGTGTATAATCTATCTACTAAGTTATTAAATAAATTCAATTTAATTTAGAATATAGGTAGTAAATGATAATATTTATAAAAATATAAAACCTATTTATACTCACATTTTTTGAAATTATGTCATAAAATCCTTTCACTAAATCTTCAACAAACATCTTTGAATAATTAATTGGAAATCCTTTGAAATCAAAACAATAAATATTTATTTTTTAATTAAAACATTAAACGGTTTGTACAAAAATTGACTAATAAATTAATAAAATTGTAAAATTCATTTAGTTACTACGCCAAAATATATTCTGTTGATAAATAAAAAAATGATTCATTCATAATTTATTGTATTATAGAAAAATTGAAACTTTTCGGTGATTGTACTTCGGTGACCAATTGGCTATCGGCCAAAATTTTTATTTTGTTTTTGTACTAAGAACTATTTAGTACCTATGAATTATGGGTTAATATTTGTTATTACCAGGGCTTGGGACTTATAGCACTTAAAATCATTTAAATAAGCGTTTAAAAAAGCGTTAAAAACATCCTTATAAGAATTTAAAAAACTTAAATTTAAGCAAAAATATTTATTTAAAAATAAAACTAAAAAATCAAAAATAACAAAAAATAAATCTTTATCTTTATATCACAAAAAAAAATTGGACTTCAATTGTGTGATTTTAAGAATTTTCTGAAAAATAAGATGTAAACAACATTTACAAATACAGTGAAACTTGATATATAACAAACTTCCATTTAATGAAATTTCCTATTTAACAAATTATTTTTGAGAACCATGACCTTCATTGTTAAATACGCGTCAATTTATCTCCAAATAATGAATCTGATGTTTTTATAAACGAAATAATTATTCAATAAAAACTGTTTTTGTAAATGTTGTCACTTTCAAATTTTAAACAGTTCTAAAATTGTACATGAACAATGAATCCGATAAAGATAACCAAAGGTAGCAAACTGACTAATTTTATTGCAGTATTTCAAAACTTAATGATATAGAAACTTTTTACGAAAAGAGTACAATTTATAAAAATAATAAGGAAACAAAACTCACTAATCATTTCTTTTGAATTATAAAATTAAAAACTTAATTAAACTGTAATATTATATTTGATGTTGTTTTCTACATAACATATACAACATAGAAGTATAAACATACATATAATACAATTTTTAAAAAAAGTTGAAAAAAATACGTAATTCTATTTAATGAATTCCTCCATATTACAAATTTTTTTTGCTCCTTACTCGATTTCGTTACATTGAAGTTTCACTGTAATTGAAAAAAAATTAATTAATTAATTTAATACACTGCAACGTAGATAAGATAAGAATTATTTTTAATTTTAATTCTATCAAAAACAACTTTGCAAGTGAAAACCATATAGAACTAGAAAAACTGATCAAAAAGCACAAGTAATCATAAAAAACTGGAAATTAGAATTTTTTTTAAAAAAGCAAAAAAAAGCACTTTCAAATTTCATAATTGACCGTGTTGTAACATGACATACACTTCCATAGTGATCTGCTACATTTTAAGTCAATCCATAAAAATAAGCAAATGCTTTAAGTCCTGAACCCTGATTATTACTTTTTTACAATATATAAGGTGCGCATAGATATTTGTGAATTATAATTAATAATAAATTGAATGAATAATAAAATGTAGACAAATATGGGTACAAATTTTGTTATTAAAGAGACATCAAATTAAAATTAAATTTATTATTTGAATAAATATACAGTTAATACTTATGTTTTTTTGATGACGCAGAAATTCACTTATGAAGGAAACATAGACCGATGAATTCCCGAGTGTTGTTTATCCTGCTCTCTAGTCGATTGCCATAAACGTTCAATATTTTGAGTGTGTGCTTCACTAATCGGATCTGCAAAATTATATTTGAAATTGAGCTGCATGTCTATATAAATAGTTACTAAACAGATCGGAGTACGATAAAAGCACTTGAAAATCTTCAATTTTTTTTATAAATAAGACCACTTTATATGTACATAATATCAGATGCAGTTTAGGTTGAATGACAAAAGAGTTAGTTACTTGGATGTTAATATTTTGATAAAACTAAACTTAAATAGTTTGTTTATTAGTGACTACATAGGTAGATTTTTTTTTTCAAGATTAATTTATAAGTTTTTGCTTAATCTATTACAATTAAGTTCAATTTTTTTACTAAATAACCAATGAAAAAACTTGAAAGCAGATATAATTTGAATTAGTATTTGGGCATAATATTCCCAATATTATGCACAATTAAGGAAGGTTCCTAGTAATGTGCTCCTAGGTTTTTATTTTAGATTTTCCAGTACTTCTGATTTTGTGAGATATCGTTTAACTTTTTAATTTATATTGTTCCTAGTTTTTTTTGTGAAATCTGCAATATTTTAAATAATTAATTTCAAATATTGCTATGTTTAGTCCAGTTATGAAGTTAATTCAAAATGACAATTTATGTGAAATAGGGATTAATTTTTATTGTTCAAGAACATCTTCAACGACTTCAACTATATAAGTAGGTATCTAGATATTAGTTTAAATTATAAATTAAAAACATGTCAGCAACATAATATAGGTATAGGTAGTGTATAAATAATTACCTATGTGAAATATAAAATTTTTTTAAACTTGTTTCTTCTGATTTATATTTTATATTTTTCTACCCAACACAATTCAAATTAGATAACTACCTTCTCAGCGAAGTTTCTCAGTCTCTTCTAAGAATATCATCACGTAATAAAGCAAAAGTGCCAGTATTAAAAGGAAACACTCGTCTTTATTTCGATGGATGATATTCAACAACAGCATCGTTCATTCGCATCTGATCATGAAAATATAGACGACCATCCAGACTGAGGTGTTGGTAATTTAAAATCGGTACAATACCTATGTCGTTTTGGTTACAATAATACTATTAACAGTTACACACAATAATAAATAAACAAAACTAAAAACACTAAATAATCCGACAACGATCAATCAATGAACGAGGTTGACAAACCGACACTGACGACAATAAAAATTTTAGCTACGATAATCGGATAGTCGATATTTTCGATAATAATGAATAATAACAACAATAACAAAAGGAAAAAACGAACAAATTCGCGGTATAACCTTAAATAAAAACTGAGATAAAAAAATTTTAATTTAGTTTTGGGCCCATATTTAATCCCAAACGGATAGCGTGTAAGTCATTAATTTCTTTGAAGTTCGCAAACAGCTTGCAATTTTATTGATACTCTCAATTCGCACTTGTAAAATTTGAAAATTGTTAGCTTATATTTTAAAACGAAGATTCGAGTTATCTCACAAAAATAATTGTTATTATCAACTGATAAGAACCATTGAAATCAGCATCTGTTCGGGGGTCAGCGACCATGCGCGCGTACCCGCCACCCGGCTAGGGTTCACTGCTGAATGCTGGTTCTACGCTGTGCGCAGCAGCGGTTTTCTTTTTTTTTTTTCAGTCGAAGTCTCTTTGCACGAGTTTAAAAATAGTAACCTCGTTTTAAAGATTATACATTGTTAAATTGTTTTGTCGGTGGGTAGATTGTAGATACATAATTTTATACATTTATACACATCTATTATTTGGCCGCCCAGGACTTTTAGACTTCCAGCGCCGGAGGGAGGTTTTGCGGGGCCCGGGACAAATTTTTTTCATGAGACTAAAAACTAGTAATAGTGTTACTTTGCAGGCACAGAAGTTAGAATTATTTGTGTACAGTTGTACTAAATGTACCTATATGTATATATGCAGCTTGTTTAAAAATAGCTATGAATATCAATCAATAAATATGTTATGACTTATTTATGAATCATTGACGGATTTCAAAAAAAAATACGAAAACTGATAAAGGGAGAAATTTGAAAAGTATCGGAAAAAATTTAAAAAGTTCAGGCGGCAGTAGTATTTAAAGGCGTCAACGCGTTGTCGCCGTATCGAAACCTATACACCACAGAATAGATTAAATCATTAAATTAAATTGTTAAATCATTAAATTAGATTTAATCTATTCTGTGCCCACATCCCAGGAGAATTGACCTAACGCCTACAGCTACCTAGTTAACATTTGAGATAACATTAGACGTCAAAACTACAAGACTTAAGCTGTTTTTCCGCTGTAACGAATATTACATTGAACACTATTTAAGCGATTAAATTCGTATGAGTCGTGTGTAATAAAACCACGAATAATATTTCCTCACGTGAATGTACCACGATTTCCATCAATAGTTATATACTTATATATATATATATATTACTCGATTCGGTAAAGGTACACTCCGTTTGAATACAATTTATTCAAAGTTAATTTGAACTAAATAAGTGATGTGACAAATAATATCGCATATAAATTATAAATATAATCACAGACATGTCGGTAGCACACGAAACGCGTACCTTTTTTCTTAAGGCAAAAAAAATTTTCTAGCACGTTCTAGTACTTAGGTACTCGTAAGAATTTTTTCAATATTTATTAAAATAAAATATGTGCAAATTAAATGTTTATATACACCTGTACGCCGAAGCAGCACTTACGATTTTTGTATATTTGCAGTTTGCTGCACCAATTCGAGTTGTGTATAGGATAGGGGGGATTCAGCCAATAAGTGGGTAAAAATCGCAACAATAATAAACTATAAAGCTTAAAAATATAATAATTGACATACGAAACCAATATTTTTGGTACAAATAACCATATACAATATAAATGACTAAATAATAACATAATATAGCAAACACACTAAAAAATAGTGTTTTTGACCTTTGACCCACTAACAACTATATCAAAAGTATTTGTGATATCTCGACCTGTGTGGCTGTATGGCAGTATCCACGACGTCCTTACTGATAGCCGGAACTACGACGGCGGACAAGAAGTGAAACCAATTTCGGCAGAGACTGAAGCTCAGCAAAGTGAGCACAGCGGTATAGCTGGATCTCCGGGAGCCACATGTAGACTGTAGCGATAGGCCCCAGTCATGTAACATAATATGTTATAGTCACCAGCATTGCTTCGGCCGCCTTCATGCCGAAACATAGGTCATAGTACCTATAATATATTTCATAATTTTCTAACGATACCTAAATTCAGCGTTTTCCGTAAACTGTACAAAATATTCACTTATCGTTGTCAATAAATTATGTATCACGAGTCTACAAAATATACTTCTGGGCTGACATTCAGTGCGTATTAGACAAATTTAAGTATTATATTATTCTAAGCGGAGTTATAATAGTACATCACGCACTTAACGCACTTTGCTTGTATATTTTTTATTGCAGCGACCAGAATAATATTTTAATCACTTATCGTTTCAATACTATGTTAATTTCATCGAGAATTCGACAACTCATTTGAATATAAACAGTCCATAATATTTTACCAAACAAAAAATCAATAAAAATACTTATGTAAATAATTAATTATTGGAATAGTTCTTTCACACAGTACCTACCAATATTAAATTACGATTTAAAATATTTTTTATTATATTCGATCTCCAGTGGGTAAAAAAATAAGTCTTATATTATATTTTAATAAACTTGGTGGTAAACAACGTTGAAAATTAAAAATTAAAATAAATATTCACAGAATGCTTCGGGCGCCTAGCATATTTTATTTTTCAAATGTATAATAACTGTATAAGTTTTTTTAAATTGTATTATTTAATTAAAAACAACTTAATTCAAAATGACAAATCACACATATTATCTTATTTTATATTTATAATATTACAAACTACTTTAATTAAAAATAATTTAATAGTGAAAGACTATGATTTATGAATAGAGTAATATTACAAATTTAAATTTATATGCTGTATTTCAAGATAATTTTATCAGTTTAGTTATGAATATGGCCTGACCTAACACAACCTGAACTTTGGGGCTATCAAAAGGCACTTGAATAGCAAATTTTTTATCCAAGTACAGTATTATAGCCAGTAGTCACCACTCTTATACAAAGAACGACGGTAATATATCTATATATATACTCCAGTGGATGGAACTCGTTATTCTGATAATTCAGAGACAGCTCAGGTCATAACACTAAGTTCAAATTTTGACAAAATTTAC